TGGTTCACAGTGTCGTGTAAAACAATTTTCCTCTCTAGAATCTAACATACATATCTATAAATATACCGTTTGTTCATGCTTAGCATATTGCTGCGATATATGGTCCAGTGCCCCTGCTATTTACTTTGAGATCATCAATAAAATCCAAAAAAGCAACAATATTATTGGTCTTGATCTGGCAGCTCAGCTTCAGTCACTCTCCTACTGCTGTAAGGTAGCCACTGTTGCTTTTCTATAAATACTTTCATGGTAAATGTTTGGATGAGCTCTTCGTTATGGTACCTAGACTTTTTGAATTTATGTACAGTACTAGACTGGTATCAAAATCTGATCAGCTGACAGTTGAGCTGGCTAGATGTAGCCATAAGTTCTATGCTGACAGTTCCATTTCTCACAACTCTTGTCTGTCTTGTCTCTTCTGGCTCCATGCTTTCCAGACATCTTTAATTGGCAAAAAGCTAAATGCAATGTCAATTGCTATCTATTGGCTTCCTGATTACTCTTTTCTCTTCCCACTAATTGTTAATGTTTCTGTTCCTAATTCTCTCACATCCAGTAACCCCTTGTGTCTTAGTCGCTTTACTAACTTAAAAACATATATATATATATATATATATATATACACATACATACATACACACACACACACACATGCATGCTTGTGCAAATTAATTGAAACAAAAAGAATAATTCTGTTATTATTTACTCTTTTTTTGAATTTTTCCAATGAAACATGATGCAATGCATATGTTAGTACTTCACATGCCCATTCCACAAAGTCGTTCTTTGCAGATTGACCATAGATTCTCGATTGGATTTAAATCAGAAGAGTTTCTGGGACAGTCTTTGATTTGCTCTGGCTTGCATCTTCAAATCCATTCAAGAACCACCAAGAGAACAGTGAATAAGTTTAAAAGAAGAGGGAAACAATAGAGAGGAAAACTGGATCAGGAGGTCACAAAAGGAAGAGGGATCATCATTTCAACTTAGAGCTAAAGACATCAATTAGAAAAGATCCAACTCAATCCATAAGACACTTGACATATGAGAGGAGTTTCAGCCTCGAGAGTCTAAAGAGCAGTGAAAAAAAGCTTGAAAATGAAATTGTACATGAAACATGTGAGGTACCTTGTTACTCCAGTACAGAATGTTAGGCTAGAGAGTGTGAAGATCATCTTGAAGAAGTTGAAAATGATCCTGAAATAATATATATATATATATATATTTTTTTATTTTTTATTTTAAGCATTTCACCCCAAGCAAGGCAGGAAGCCACTAGGATGCAAGGGGTTACAGAAAATTTAGAGCAAGATCAGATAGGAGTGATAGAAGAAAGGATGAGGGTAGTGGATAGATCAAGGCAACTGGAGATGTCGATTGACATTACACTTGAATAGCTGGAGATTATAGCTCACAGGGAAACAGGAGAAGGGAAGGGAGTTCCACAGGCGAGAGGTGCAAGACATGAAGCTATTAGAGTAGAAGAGACGACTACATTTAGGAGTTTCGACAGTGAAGGGGTGAGAGCAAGATGCCAGCCTCGTAGGGCGCTGAAACTCATGACGTCTGGGAACCAGCGAATGCAGCTCCTCGGAGCAATTTCCATGTAAGTATTTGTAGAACAGAGAGGGAGGCAACGAATATATATAATTTGAAATTTTTTTCAATCCTTCATGAGCTTCTGATCCTTAGGTATGATTAATTAATGATGAACATATCATTTTTATTTCTGGCCACTCATATTTGAGGATACCTGTCTATTACAGTGACTATTGCAGTTACTTGCTCAGGCACATTTGTGTTTGTTCAACACCCACAGAGATCACCTGTGGCTTATACTGCAACTAGCTGAGTAGACCTTAGTTACAGTTTCTGGGAAATAGTGTGTTATTTAATATGATCAGTAGTCTGAACAAGGCCAGCACCCTCAAACTCTCAGTCACTATGACTTGTGTGACTGTGCTAGTACAACCATCGATGACTCCCAAGGGTTTAGTCAATCCAGTTTCACTCACAAGGCTTGGTCAACATGCAATATGATGTTAGAATTGCCACCTCCAGCCTGATAACATTAAAAAATAACCTTCCTGAAAAATCAACAAGGTGAGATTTGAACCCGAGTTTCATGGTCAGAAAGCAAACATTGTAACCACTCAGCTACATGCCCATTATTATATATATATATATTTTGGAAGCAAATTTAATGATTTTGGTTGAAAATTTTGAATTTCCTTCTGATTGGATCTTCTGACAAGATAATGATCCTAAGCACATTGCAAAATCTATAAAGAAAGAGCTTGCTGAAAATAATGTAAATATCTTGAAATGGCCAAGTCAATCCCCAGATTTAAGCCCAAATGTGAATCTGTGGCATTATTTAAAAATTCAAATCCAATTGAGAGCTCCAACAAACATCCCAGAACCGAAGACCATATGCAAAGAAGAATGCAACAAAGTGCCAACTAAAATTTGCAAATCATTAATTGAGCGTTGGTTGCTGTAGAAGTAAATAATGGCTATTCTATAAAATATTAAATGAAGATTATGTATTTTTTTGTATTGCGCAAATACTTTTTTCACCCACTAAAATGGATAAATGGGATCTATTTCTATTAAATAAAATATTTTCCTGTTTTCTATGCATATTTAGTTATTATACATCTGTATACCGTTAATTATATGAAAGGTATGTTTATTCATTAGTTGGAAATACAATAAATTAAAAATTTGTATGTGTACAAATATTTGTTTTTCCCCACTATTTTCCCAGGATGCAACAGAAATACCTCCCACTAAGACATTCATGCCAAAGGTGTCTTCATCTCGCTAATCTTCCCATTATGTGGGAGGTGCTGCACTTTGTGTATGTATATATATATATATATATATATATAAGGTTATGGTGGAGTCTCAAGCCTTAAATGGCAATCTCCCAAGAGATGATATATTGATAAAAACACTTGAACTACTGTGAGTGTCTGAGTTAGTTTTTAGGAAGTGCATTCAGACTTGTAAAACCTTGCCTCAAATCATTGACAAATTCTTTGTCAGGCAGGGTCCACCTTGCTTTGTGCAAGATTAATCCTGGTCATGTCTCAAAGACATGGTTATATATATATATATATATATATATATATATATATATATATATATATATATATATATATATTTATTCATCTGTAGAGCCACATATCAATCACTGAATCTCTACTTGATCTGTGATAGCAGTTCAGAGAATAGACAACAAAAACTTCAGAGTAAATTGTTGATGAGCACATTTATCTTGAAAATCAGGGTTATCATTTTGTGCCTGTTTCTTACTAAGTGCTTTTGGATTGTGGCCCTGTACCAAACTTAGTTGAGTAAATACCTGTAACCTAAAAACAGAAACAATATGCCTCAGGTTTAGAGAGCCACATCCAAGGCAGGACCTCTCCAGTTTCATATAAAGGCGTGAAGTCACACAGTTCTTGATGCCTGAAGTGTTCTAAAAGGGAAGTGCTGAGGAAATCTGAGCAAGTTTTTTTTTACTAATTCCATGTATGCATGAGTTCCCACTTAAAAATGGCCTTGCACCATAATTCAATAAGTGGACAGATAAATACTTAGTCTAGAATCAGTGATTCTCAGTTTTAGAGGATCTTCTATCCAAGCAGCACCCAACAATTTCTCTTAGAGAGAGAAGGTCAGGGTCAGTTCCTGATGCCTAAAGTGCTTAAGGAGTTTGAGCAATTTTTCCCCACTAAATTCATACACAAGATTCCTTCTTTATAAATGGCCTTGTGCCATAATTTTTAAAGTGAGAGGACTGATAAATATTTACTAAATAATATATATTTGATGACCCATTTGGTAGTGAGATCAATTCTTTTAGGAGGACCTAATACTATGCTCTCCTCCCAACTGCCAAATTAATATTTGCACACATATATAAGTATCACTTGATCTGTATATATTACAAAAAAATTAATAAATAAGTCATAAAATCATGGATTCTTTTGTTCTACTAATATCCACGTTTTTTGACTGAATGAATGAGCTTTGTTCAAATCGTGGGTGAAGTACTTTTACATAATGAACCTCTGACATATGCTTATCAACCCCAAAGTCACAATTGGGAATGTCTAGCCACCTCTGATATTTAGCCATTTAAATATCATACCCAAGCATAAGTGATCGACTCTCACTAATTGGACAACAAGTCTAAAACATTCACAAGCAATTATTTTGTGTCGGCTACTGTACTAGTCTTCCATTTTCTTTTTTTATTTCCCTTCTTCATCTTTATACAAAATTCCATTTTATTAATTCTTTAAATGATATATAATATTCTTTTATGTGCTGTGTTCCTTCAAGACAGGGGGCAATCATGGCTCTCCATGACTCCCTGTCCTTTGTAGTTCTTGTTAAAGTTTGTTTTTGCTGTCTCTAATACCTGTCCTACCAAACATTTACGCAAATGCATTAACTGCTAACTTCTGCCCCTATTGCCTTGAGTGTGACCTGTGAGTGCCAAATTTTCTGTGCCCTCTTTCCTCATTATGTGACCAAGAAACTCTTTCTGGCGCTAAGTATAAGTATCCTTTTTGTTTCTATTTTCTCTAAAACTTTGTCATTGCTCACATGATCAGTCCATGGTATTCTCAGCATCCTTCTGTAGAACCACATTTCTGTTACCTCAAGTGGCTTCATTATCTATGAGAAGATTATCCATGATTATTGATTCATTTTCTATGGCTTCTCAACCCTTTCCAGGTTATTCAAAGCCAAAAAATATTTTTAGGTTGTAAGAATATATTTTTTTTTGGGGGGGGGTATAATAATGGTTTAGTGATACACGTCTTACTAATTAACCCATAGCTAGGGAAAGAAGAGGTGGATTTATACTTTTCCCAAGGGTATTTAGTTGTAAATGAATATAACAAACCCAACGGGAATTGGAACAGCTCTCTGATTAACGATTCCGAGCCATTATCCATTATATTACCTGCACATTCAAGCTTACAACACCTGGTATTCCCAAGTGGTCACCAATGTAGGTACTGACCAGGATCTATGTTGCTCAACTTAGGTGATCATATGGGAGCTGGTGTTTCACCGTGATGCGGACATAAGCCTGGGAGATTTTCCAGCATTCACTGCTATATAGAATTACTGTTCAAAAGTTTCTTCTTTTTTTTTGTTTCTAATGAAATTTTCCTGTTTCTTAATACTTTGTTTAGCTTTTGGAAGGCATCTTTCAATATTCTAATGCTGCTTTGGATTTCAGTGTCACATTTTCCGTTTTCTGTTAAAACAATTCCTAGATATTTAAAATTTTGTACTGACTTTATTTTACTATTTCCAATTTGTAATTTGCATGTTTGACTTCTTACAATTGATGTTTAGTCCATTTGACTAACTTTTCTTTAATACCTTCTGTAGGATTTCCTATGGCTTTCTTTCTATGTCTACTATCAACACTGTCATCTGTCTAAGATTGTGACTGCCAATAATAATTCTTGGTAGAACTTCTAATTCTCTTAGGATTGCTTCACTGTAAAGTTTGAATAAGTCTGGTGAGTAGACACATCCTTGTCTTACACCTCTTTCTATTTTTGTATATTTACTGAATCAAATTTCTATACATATACTGGGCTTCAAGCCATCAGCCTAAGTTCTGGATTATTCTACTATCTTTTCCAAATAAATGAAGATTACCTAACATTTCCAACAGTTCCTTGAGATTTACTTTATCAAACGCTTTTGCATCAATATAAAACATAGGTATATAGATTCTTTTGAATTTGTATTGCTCTTTCTGATATCATTCTGAGCATAAAAATTGCATTCCTTGTTCCAGTGTCTTTAAAAAAAACTGCTCTGTTCTGAGTGTTTTTTTGGTCTAATTCTGCTGCGTGCTTGTTCAGAGTTTTTTTTTTAGTCAGTTTCACCCCATAAAAAGCAGTAAAATCACTAAAACAAGGGGTTACTATGGAAAAATTAGGGACAGAAACATTAATAATGAGTGGAAAGAGGACAGTAGATAGTGATTGACATTGTATTTAAATTTTTGCAGATTAAAGTTGACTAAAAAGCATGGAGCTGGAAGGGAGTTCCATGGACAAGAGGTGTGAGAAAAGAAACTATCAGCATAGAAGTTGCAGCTACATCTAGCTAGTTCAATTCTAAATTGATGAGATCTCAATGCCAGTCTGGTATTACACTTAAATTTAAAAAGCCTAGGTACTATAATGAACAGCTCATCCAAACAATTATCATGAAAGTATTTATAGAAAAGAGAGGTAACCTTATGGAAGTAGGAAAAAGACTGAAGCTGACCCACCAGATCAGGGCCAATAATATTGCTGATTCTTCTTTAGATTTTATCAAGTATCTCTAAATATATAGCAGGAGCACTGGTCCCTATGTGGCAGCAATATTCTAAGCATGGCCGAATGGTAAACTTCTAGATATGTATGATGGATTCTGGGGAGAAAAATTGTCTTGCTTGACACAGTAAACCAACTTTCTTAGCTGTTGACCTAACAATGGATTCAATGTGGTCTTTCCACTTCATGTCAGCTGAGAACATTAGCCCAAGAAGGCACAATGAGTCACTTTCCTGGAGGTTAGCCTCAACCAAGCTGATAGAAGGCAGGGAGGAATCTCTTAGATAATTACTGGAGAGAAGTTTAGTTTTGGAGGTGAAAAGGAAGAAGAGCAAAATATCACAGTAATATTTATACAGTCAAATACATGTATTTACATATTACAAATCAATGTTCTTTGTTATGGCCATGAAGAGACCAATACTTCAATTGCTTAAAGTCATTTGTTGCAAATGAGTCTGCAAAGTTTGGAAGTGTTTTTGTTGCAAGTAAGGAAATCAAGTGTTATAGCATGCCAATGTATGCATGTGTATGTGTGTGAAGCACACACTAATGAAATGTGTGTGACTGCTGACTGATCGTTTGATAGCAGTAATTTTAAAATACAGTGAAGAAAGAGAGGAGAGACAAGACTTACTTTTGTTGTGGCATTGTATGTAGAAAAATCATCGCTGACTGATGTATTGTTATGGTAATGTGTGTCTAAACTGTTGATTGAGGCTGGTCTGGTTCACTGACTGTTTTTCACTGACTGTATTTTTGCAGATCTGGTCTTTTCTGATGCTGACAAGCCATTTTAATTGCTATGGGTTGTCTCCAAATCACTATCTGAGGTTTTGCAGGTAATGTAATCAGTAACTCAAGCCCTTAACTTTTTCCAGGTCGTTTGGGGTTCAACTGCATGGATATAGTAGAAAGCATATCACTTGATTGTCATATCCAATCAGATTCTAGAAACCATTTATTTAATTTGGAGCCATCTTTGTGTACAATTGTAAAAAAAGCTTTTTGTATCTACTGAATTTAGTAAGATTTATTTGTAGGCGTTTCTTATTTGTTTGTGCTTCACTTATTGGCTATAAAATATATTAGTTTATATCTTATACTCTCAAGGCAGGAGTAAATGGCTGGATAAGTTTTGTTATATGGCTCATTAAGCTGATTGCATAATGGAGTTCATATTTGTTTCCCTTGAACAATGAACACAATATTAGAGGCTAGTTTCAACTCTGTAGATGTAGCATAGTATATCTTATCTGAAGAGGTTTGAACTGGTGGAACTAAGGAATGGAGTGCTCATCTGAACATTTGCCATAGAAATAGCATTAGAGCAGTACTAAGCTTTTGATGACATTTCTGTAGGAAATTATATATTTATATAAGTTATTATTTTAATTTATTGCTTAGACATTAATATTTATTTTATTTTTAGAGTAGATATGTTGATTATTTATATCCATCTACTGGCCTGAATATTTGAGAAATCCTATTATAAAAATATGTGTTCTCCAGCAGGATTTGAACCTGCAATATAGTGGTTCTCAAACAGTACAGTGTGGTGTGCCTTATAAGTGCAGCGGAAGCAGATAGCAGGCGAGGCAAAATGATTGAAAGACAGTAAAGAATTTAGAAACATATTAAGAAAATTCATATGCCAAAAATAAATATGACTACAAAATTTAATGGATTATTTGCAATTGCATACATGAGTCCCAGTATAGTTATAAATAATTATTGACTGATTTTATCATTGTGATATTTTTGTATTATATCATGTATTAAGAATATAGTAACTAGTGTCTGTAAATTGGAGGAGAGAGTTATCAATGATAATTTCAAATCCACAGTTATCTCCCTTTAACCATCTCTCTTTCTTATTTTTAAATGTACTTCATATCATATAAATGTTTGGTAAGGTGCAAGTAAATTTTAATTCCGAAAAGGTGGCCCAAAAAAAAAAAAAAAAAAAAGCTTGGGAACAAATGCCCTAGGGAAAAACCATCTGATCTGATGTTGTTCTGATCTCTCTGTCATAAAGAACCTTCCAGGCAAAGCAAAGCTCAAATGGTACTTTTGAACCCTGACCTTTCCCAATTCTTGAAATATACATCTCTGCTCAGTTTTATGTCCTAACGTGAACAAAGACAATTTTTATGAATGAATTTTTCATTTATAATCTGTCATATATTTTAATTTCCCCTGCTGGTGAATGCATATTTTTCTATATTCTCAAATATTCAGGCTGGTAGATAGATATAAATAAATATACTGTTTAATAAATAAACAGAGAATCTACTCAAATCTTAGTATCTATTAAAAACCATGTTTAAGCAATAAATTAAAATATGCTGGGTTAATAAAAGAAAAATTAATTCCAATGTTATTATCTATTAAGGATGTCAGACAATATCAATGCAGAAGTGGATTTAATTACAAGTGATGGTAATAGTAATATTAGTAATTTTCTGATAAGGAAATATTTGGAATTCATTGCCCAGGCAGCCAGAACTACTTTTGGCTGAAATTTACAAAATCTTTCTCGTAAAAAAATTTTTCAATAAAATATTTTTTCTCAAGTCCGGAAACTTATTGCTCATTCAAATACTGGTAGGAATTTCCTTCCTAACCTTTTATTTGAAATACTGTGGAATATCAACATCTTGATTATGACATTCTCTATGTTACTGCTGTTGAAAGTCTTCAAGAGATGTGGTTTCCCTTATTTGGTTCAATTCTTTGTGATTATGCAGTTCCAGTTTACAAAGTTTGAAGAAGTGTGATCTTCAAGATCCACAGGGTTTATTCACTCAAAACCATTTTTAACTGTTGCTCTTAGAAAACAGTTGTATAGAGCTGACAGTTTAGGTATTTCTGAACAGGTTGGTGCCACACATGACATCCATATGAAAATCTCAATATGACAAAGCTATTTAAAAATATGACTTGAGTTTTCAGCACTTTGCAGTATTGACAGAATCTAAATAAATCTTGACTCAATTATTTTCTCCTCTTGGTGTTTAAAGATTCATCACTTCACCCTTTTGCGCACATTATTTTAGATTTGTTTTTCTTTCTGATAGTGTGGGATTACCTGACCTTGTCTGCCAGGAGATTTTTTCTAATGCCTGCATTCGACAAAGTAGTAGAGAAGGAAATGGGTTTTAAGGTTATTTTTTCTTTCTTTACATACAGGATGCCATAAAGACAAGACATGTATTGTTTCCTCACTATGGGACTTCTTAGTCCCTGATGAACCATGTGACATGGACAACATAATATATTGATTTTTAATATATACAACACTAATACTAAAACTGATAAACCATTACATGCCAAAAAATACACCTGTTTCGAGAATTGGGAAAGGTCAGGGTTCAAAAGTACCATTCGGGCTTTGCTTTGCATGAAAAAACATCACTATTTAACAAAAGGTATCTTGACACAAATTTGTAACCTAATGCTGCTACAAACTGATTACTGTTACACTAGTATTACACCATTATTTCTACTCCTTTACACTCTCAACTACATGAATGTAGCAGCTGTTTGCTAACTTTACATCTCTCCAATTGCATGATCAATGCCAAGAAAAGGGCAGAGGCACTTCCAAACTACAGCGTACTGTTGTGTTCCATGTTGTCTCTGGGTCACATGTTACTACATAGAGTGATATTAACGAAAAGAACAATTTCTTTTGCTTATTAGTTTTTATTAGAAGAGAGAGACAGAC